AGTAAGAAAAAAAAGTGGATTTTGAATTTTGAAAATATCCACACTTCATTAACATTCTTTTCATGTATCTCTATTCTTGTTTATTACCAAGTCCTCCCAAATTAATCTGTAAGCTTTCATTATTCCTGAGGAATCAGGTCAGTAAAAATCTCCTTGAAATGGCACAGAAATTCCCAGTCACTTCTTGTGTAAATATTTGCCTGTATTTCTGTATGTGAAACTAAAAATATTATATATTATTTAATTTGACTTCTTCAGTGCCTTCACAGTTTTCAATCACAAAAAACAGAGATTATTTAGCCTATATTCTTTCAACTGTCTAAATTTATTTAAGTCATTCTGACGTACCTATGTCTAATGTGTTCTTAAATATCTCCAATGCTAGAGATTGCACAGCTTTTCCAGGCAACCTATTTTCATTCTTTCTGCCGCAAATAGTTTCTAATAAATAATTTGCTCTTTCTTTTTTCTTTTCTGAAATTCAAGCTTTTTTCTTCTTATCTAGTTAATCATGGACAAAGAAAATATATCACACTATACAAAATTATGTCACAGGTTATTTTTCCCAGACATTTTCTGGTACATATCTCTTTGTCATGACTTTTTGTCCTGTAATTGTCAATGTTCAACACCTTTTTTTTTTTTTTTAATTGCAAATTTTAATATTAAAATGTACAGCTTCAGCTTTGAAAATTCTGCCTAAGCATTAAGGAAAAAAGTACTTTATTGTACTTTATTGTAAGAATATATGAAGTAAAATAACTTTACACCAAAGCCAGAAATAACTGGTAAATTAAACTCTGTATGTAAGAGCTGAAAACATGCCTAAATAAGCTTGTAAGACATTCTTTCAAAATAACTGTGCTATAATGTAATGATATGCCTTCAGGTAAATGCAACACTAGCAATTATCATATGCATATAAAGCTTCATTTTCTTCATAGCTCAGGGCCTTTTTTTTTTCTAGGAAAGCTTTTTTTTTTGTTATTATTTTAACTACAAATACTCTAGGTTTGTTTTTTTTTTAACCTGAATTTGTGGCATAACCACAGTGATTGACAAACTAGTTCCATGTGGATGTAGCCAGGTGAGAACCAGGATAACATGTCACCAGCAGCCAGTTTCCTTCCTGACCGAACTGTATATCACAAGAAATTCTGTAACATCACAGAAACAAATTTGACGCTAACACTATTGAATGATTAGCATTCATCTTGGCATAAAAAAATCTGTATTTATATTTTATATTGTTTAAAGTCTATTTATAACTATTCAACATGTCTCAAAAATGCATGGATTTTGCATAAAGCTTTTCTAAGTCATAACTCTGTCCCTGACTGACTTTTTAAAAAGTCAGGCAATCTTACTCAGGCATGTATAAGACAGCTGAGGAAAGTAATTGCTGCCTCCATCCCCACACCCCAAAGATAAAAAAATTGCTGACTGTATATGAAATGCTTCCTTATTCTCACCTTGTTGAACAAAGAAGCTTGTCCTTTCTGTCACAACCATCTTTGTCCCATCTTCTCCAACAGGGCACTGTAAACATAGTTAGGACAGAACAAAGCAAATACATGGACTGGACAAAAAGCTCAGAAAACTCTCTGAAGGCTACAGTTTAAAAGGCAGGAAGAGTAGGAGTGTCATTAAAAATCCTCAGTGGGGCTGGCCTGATTACTCTTCAGGAGGAAGAAGGGACCAGGATGAGGAGTTTACCAAAAAGGATCCATTGTGAGGTGGGATGGAGATGGTGCAGAAGGAATGTAAAGCTTGAAGGACACAGGCAGAGCTTCTTTATTCCTTGTACAAATTCCCTTCACAGCTTGTGATTTGTCATACATGTACTATCAGACTGCAAATGTAGAAGGGGATGCACTGTTATTGTAATTATGGAAGCTCCAAGCCTCTGAGTATTTGATTTGCAGCCTAAGTAACATTGGTTTTCTGTATTTGTGTGTGAAGTTGTAATCAAATGATAAGTAAGTGTTTTATTCAGCCATGTTTGCCAGTCTTATTAATCAGTTACAAATAATTCCAGAAGAGTTTTGTATCATGTAAAGAAATTGTGCAATTCATAGCTTTTTCAAAATCTTACGTGGCTTAAATGACTTCTCATCAACAAGCCACAAGGTGCATATCACACTGTACTTCAGTCTCAGCTTTGGTTGAGCAAAGTGTCTGGCAGATATTTGTTAACAGCCAATACTTCATTGTCACAGCCAATACTTCATTGTCACACTTCAGGAAGAACGACATGAGATCTACAGAGTTCTTACTGTGTTGCAGCTCCTAGGCAGATCTACCTTTATTCAAAATGGCTGCTTTTTATAGGGTAGGCTGAGGAGGGTTCTGGAAAAAGGGAGTGGATATGTAAAACTAGGAATAGGAAGGCGGGTTAATATGAATATGCAACAGGGAGGTGGGTACATGGCCATGAGATAACGTGGAAGGGATATGACCAGGTAGGGCGTATACATGGCAGTACATTGCCCAATAGGAGAGTAGCAAATAGTCCAAAGGAGGAAACTTCACAGCAACACAGGGGAACATATCCTTAAGCAAAAGCATTAACTTAACTAGAGGGTTTAGCCAAACAGTCTCTACAAGTCAGTCCATTAAACAAAAACCAATTCACTGCTCTTCTCCTCAAGAAACTCTTTCTTCCACAGTAGGTAGGTTTCATTCTCATTGTGGTCACCTCCAACACTTCACAGCATTCTTACTTCACACATTTACAGACCATTGGCTTCCAGGGAAAAGAACTACCTTTGGACATTCACTCGCCAAGAGTGTTTTGGGAAGATGGTGCCAGCACAGGCACACTTGTAACAGTCATTTAACAAGTCCTACAAATGCAGGGACCTGCCAGAAGCTATGTATGGAGCTGAGAAAGGTAACTGGGAGGACAGAGAGAGAACATGTGCAAGTCAGACAAACCCTGTGTGTTCCAAGAACATTGTTTTGTGGCTGTCAGCTGCTACGGAAGGTTGATTTGACCAATGCTTACTTCCATAGGTTTATGTTATAGCTCTATTTCACATAAAAATGCTTTACATTAATTTCTGTGAATATTCTAATAAACTGATTTAAGGGACACTCTGTGATGTCTTTGTGTTACAAGCTTATCTGTCCTGCTTCTTAGAGTATTACTTGGCAGCTGCATACACTAGTGTGATTGACAAGTTTGGAACTGTTAGACAGAAGGAGTAACTGTTTTGAATTATTTACTCAGGCTTTATAAATCAGCTTTTATCCACTGCAGTCAATTGTACACTCAGTGTGACCCATGTCCACTGTACAGAAATGGGAAAGCAGGAAGTGTTGGGTTTGGTTTTTTGGTTGGTTGGTTGGTTTTCTTTTTTTTTTTTTTTTTTGGGGGGGGGGTGTTGTTTGTTTGTTTTTGTTTGTTGTTTGTTGTTTGTTTTTTATTGCAATTTACTTAATTGCTCCATGATAAAAAACTCTATTGCCTCTAAACTCAAAAATCTGCCAACTGGTCATTATGATTGTATTATCTCCCTACGCCTCCCACTACACAACAAACAACGTCGTTCTCTTTAGTGTGCATGCCCCAACCCTCCAAGCTGACCCTGCCGAAAAAGATAAATTCTACACTGACCTACGCCGCCTTATCGAAAAGGTTCCTGCAGATGATAAGATCATTATCCTTGGTGATTTCAACGCCAGAGTAGGAAAGAACTCTGAAGCCTGGAAAGGAGTATTAGGCAAGCATGGTATTAGGAACTGCAATGATAACGGTAGCCTTCTGCTAGAGTTTTGTGCGGAGCAGGAGCTTACCATCACCAACGCTATGTTCCAGCAGAAAGATAGTTTGAAGACAACCTGGATGCATCCTAAATCCAAGCACTGGCACCTCATTGATTATATCTTGGTCCGACAGAGAGATATCAGTGATGTTCGTCATACCCGCGTGATGCCTAGTGCAGAATGCCAAACAGATCATCGCCTTGTGCGCTGTAAACTTAACCTCCACCTTAAGTTCAAACCTAAAAAGGGCAGCATTCCTAGAAGGAGACTTCAAGTTAACAATCTTCAAACAGCTACAGTGAGAGACACTTTCCGGGCAAATCTTCAATCCAGGCTCGAAGTTCATTCCACAGATCCCCCTCCCGAAGCTTTTTGGCAACTTATTAAAAATAGCATCCTGCAGTCCTCTGAAGAATCCTTAGGGTTCTCCTTCAAGAAAAACAAGGACTGGTTTGATGAAAACAATCATGAGATGCAGGAATTGTTGAGAAAGAAGAGAACTGCTCACCAAGCCCACCTTGCTTATCCATCTTGTCATGTAAGGAGAGCAGCCTTTTGACTTGAATGCAGCAAGCTCCAACAGAAACTTCGTCTCATCCAGAACAAGTGGTGGACCAATCTAGACAAAAAAATCCAATTATACGCAGATACGAGTGACTACAGGGGATTTTATGAGGCTCTGAAAACAGCCTACGGTCCTACATACCAGGTTCAAAGCCCTTTACTCAGCGCAGATGGTCAAATTCTTCTCACAGATAAAGTTTACATTTTGAATCAATGGTCTGAACACTTTCAGACTCTCTTCAGTACTAGCCATGTAGTTCAAGACTCAGAAACGCAGTACATTTCACAACAACCAGTGAAAACTGAACTGGATACTGCCCCCACTATGAGAGAAACTCTTAAAGCAATACAGCAGGTGAAAATTGGCAAGGCAGCTGGGGTTGAAGGAATCCCTCCTGAAATCTGGAAGCATGGTGGCCAAGTTCTCCATGCTAAGTTTCATGAATTTGTGGTGTGCTGTTGCAAGAGGAGTGTAGAGAACAGAACAAAGGACTTTATGTAACCTTTGTTGATCTCACCAAGGCTTTCGATATTGTGAGCAGAAAAGGTCTGTGGCAGATTTTGGAACGCTTAGGATGTCCTCCCAAGTTCCTCAAAATGATCATCTCACTTCATGAGGACCAGCGCGGTCAAGTCAGATATGGCAATGCACTTTCTGAGCCCTTTCCAATAACCAATGGTGTGAAGCAAGGCTGCGTTCTTGTACCAACTTTATTCACAGTCTTCTTCAGCATGATGCTCCAAAGGGCTACGGCAGACCTCAATGATGAAAACGGTATCTACATTCGACATTGTACCGATGGGAACCTATTCAACCTAAGGCGACTGAAGACCCACACTAA